TGAAGGGGGTGTGTCACTGTGGGTGAGCTTTGAGGTTTCAAAAGATTTGTGCCATTTACAGTGTCCTCTCTGCCTCCTAATTATGGATGGAGATGCGGGTTCTCAAACTGTTCCTTCACTCCACCATCATTAACTCTAGCCCTCTAAAGCTAAGCCAAATGAAAAGCTTGTGTGCTTTATCACAGCAACAGAAAAGCAACTAAAACAATGACCTAAGATCAATTCCCAGAATCCAAATAAATAAAGCTGAGGGCATGTGGTTGGAGCAATGGCTCAGCAGTTAAGAGCATTTGCTTCTCTTGCACAGTAATGACATTTGGTTCCCAGAACGTCCATCAGGCAGTTCACAACTTCCCATAACTGCAGGGGATCCAGTGCCCTTTACTGGCCTCCAGCCAACCTAGCTCAAATCAGTACGACACATTCTGAAAATAACAATGACAAACCCCAAGGTAGATGGATCCTGAGGAACAACACCTGAGTTCACCTCTGGCCTCTTCACATGTGAGCGAGCACATACGTCTATACAAATAAGCACCAGCATACACATTCACCAGAACAAAAATGGGGCTGAGGAGACAGCTCAGTGGGTTAAGAGTGCTTTCTATGAAAACAAGAGGACCTGAGTCTAAATCCCCAGTACCTAAAGCCTGGCATCCTTGTGTTGATGAACAGAGACAGACAGATCCCAAGAGCTTTGGCCAGCTAGCCTAGTCCAAATGGGGAGCTTCAGGCCTCCTGTGGCCTATGCATGGGCAGTTGTATGCATGTACATGTACATACACACACATACACACACCCCAAAAGCTATTTTTCCACATAGATAAAAGCTAACAGAACTCTGGGTGAGGGTCTGGAGAGATGGCTCAGTGGTTAAGAGCACTGGCTGCTCTTCCTAGAGGTCCTGAGTTCAATTTCCAGCAACCACATGGTGGCTCACAACCATCTGTAATGAGATCTGTCGCCCTCTTCTGGCCAGTAGGCACAAATACATGTAGAAAAAACACTACACATAATAAATACAACTTAAAAAAAAGAGAGAACATGAGAGAAACATGAATATTTAAGAATTGCATAGGGATTTGTATTTAGAATGTTAAAAAAATCCGATTCAATAAAAAAAATTCTGGGTGAAATAGTATATGCTTGTAATCTCAGCAATGGGGATATGGAGACAGGAGGATTTCTGGGGATCATTAGTGAACTCCAGGTTCAGAGAGAGACCCCCCCATCTCAAAAAATAAGTTGAAGACACCCAATGTCAATCTGTAGCCTACACACACACACACACACACACACACACACACACACACACACACACACGCGTGCACACACACAGAAAGAAAACCATAAAGGTAAAGAAAATAGATGATTAGGTTCTTTTTCAGTCAATTTTTCTTCTTCAATTCACTTACCAAAGCTGCAAAAGCCCATCCAGTTTTATTAAAGAGGAATTCCATATTGCTTCTTCGTAGATACACGAGTCCACCAATAACAGCCAGAAGCAATCCCAACATTAGGGGTCCAGCATAATTTGGAGGTCTAATTACCCTAATCTAATGGAAGGGAGAGAGAAAAACATTATAAAATATAAAATTTATTTTCTAATTAATAATAATAAAATGAAAGGAGTCAAAAATATATTTTCATGAAAAAATACCTTTTTAAAACCATTTTGCTCCAATCAAATAGTCTAAACTCTATCCTAGAAACAGTATGTAACAGGCATAGTATTATTTCAGTTAATCAAAACACAGTAACTTTTAGATTAAGGAATGTTTGCCAAGTACACACTTAAGGTCAGGAAAATGTTTTCTAGTCTGAACTCAAAAGGCTAAGACAATGTATTTTATAATTTTACTCTTTTTCAAGACGATTGTGGCAAATCCTACTTATGAAAGAACAACCAAATTATCCCATCTCAGTGATATGGAGGCAAAACCAGCTACGATCCCCAGTTCAGATTCAAAGAGTGTAAAAACATAACTTTTTGTAAAGTGGGGAAACTTACATTGACATCAGTTCTGTCTGCGATCCACCGGGCAATCTGTTCAGCTGAAAACCCTCGCACCTGCAACTCATATGTATCAGCCCGTTTGGGCTTTCCTTTTGGAGGAAAGTTGATAAAAGTTGGAGCTGAATTCATGTTTAGCTGAATAAAGAATAGATCATGGAAACATAAGTTACCAAGAAAATAATCTTTTTAAAGATTTATTTATTATGTATACAGTGTTCTGCCTGCAGGCCAGAAGAGGGCACCATATCTCATTTTAGATGGTTGTGAGCTACCATGTGTTTGCTGGGAATCGAACTCAAGATTTCTGGGAAAACAGCTAATGCTCTTAACCTCTGAGACATTTCTCCAGCCCCAGAAAATAGTAAATAATAATTTTAAAATTTAGACCTTTTTCTTTTGAGTTAGGGTTTTGTGCGTCATCCAGGCTGGCCTTGAACTTGCAATAATCCTCTTGTCTCTGCTTCCTCAGTGCTAGGATTAAAAGCATGGATCACCATGCCTGGGAGAAATTTAGGCTTTTCACATACATGAAGATCATGATTATATAGTTGAAATTTGTCTAAGGAGAGTTGTAGAGCAGTCTTTCAAACACAAGGTTACCTGTGACTATAACAATTGTACTTTATTATCCAAATAGAAACTTCTAGATAACATACAATTTTTCTCAACTTGAATAGGAAGTTTCCCATACCAGATATTTTCAGTTTTCAGTGATTCTCTTAAAAAAACTTTACATTCATAACATTTAAAATTATTTTATATAGCTATAACAAATTCATGATACTAAAATGGGAAGAGTTAAGGTTAAAGGGCTGTTTGAGCAATACACTGAGTTAACGACAAGCTTGGACAACTTAGTGAGACTCTGTTTTGAAATAAAACACTAGACATGGGGTCACATTCCTGTAACCCCAGCATTGGGGAGGCAGAGGCAGGTAGATCTTTGTGAGCTGGAGGTCAGTCTGGTCTACAGAGTGAGTTCTAGGACAGCCCCCTCCCAACTGCTATGAGTATAGGCACAAGTTACTGTCCCTGGCTTGTTATTTATATATTTACAATAAAAATATGTATAAGTGGAATTCCCTGAAAAACAAATCCTCATAGGACAAGAACACCTGAGGGGAGATGTCATTCTGTAAACATGTTTCTCATATTGGTTAATGAATAAAGCACTGTCGGCCAAAAGGAAAGCAAGATAGGTGGGACTAGGAGACAAGGAAGAGAGAGGAAGTAGTAGGGAGGAGATCCAAGATGGAGGATGGAGAGAGAAGAACCCCAGCCCCCCTCTCCGGTAAGATAAGACCACGTGGAAGTACTTAGATTAATAGAAATGGGTTAATATTTAAGACAGAGATAGCTGATAAGAAACAAGTAACAGGCCAACAGCTTTATATCTAATACAGCATCTCTGTGTATTATTTGTGGCAGGCGGTTGAGACCAGACTAGCCAGGGGAAAAACCTATTCCTAACAAACACCCTTCTGCCAAATAAGGTAATTACCCGGAAGACAAGGCTGCAGTCTGAAACAGAGATGATCTTGGGAGAATCAGACTGATCCCAAGCTACATTGACTTAGGATTGACCATCTTGATGAACCAGAACTGAGACAATGATCAGACAGCACCTTGACATGGCTGTTTAATTATACATACTTCTTTGCCCTGCCTCAATTCTTCTGTTTAAACTAGTCCCAATAGAGGGTGTCACTAATCATCTGTTCTTCCCACATTGAATAAATTCCTCTTGCTTCACACACACACACACACACACACACACACACACACACACACACACACACACACGTTTGAGTGTATATGTGTATAAGTTGTCAGATAGGGTGATGAACACCTATAGTTCCAACATTTGGGAGATGGAGGATGAAGGATTGGAAGATTGTATTCAGCCATGTACACAGACCATACCACCCAACAACAAACTTAAACGTGTGTAGCTGTTACTTGCTTACTACGTATTTTATTTAGTAAGTTGGCACTGGTTAGTACCTTTTCTGATTAATCAATTTTTGCTTTTAGTTCACTAAATAATCTCGCTTTTTACATTAAAGTATTTTTATTCAATATCTTAACAATCAGTTTTAGATTTATTTATTTTATGTATATGAGTGTTTTGCTTACATAGATATATGTGCACTACATGCATGGCTGATGCCTGTGGAGGCTAGAAGAAGGTGTCAGATCCCCTGGAACTGGAATGATGGATGGTTTTGAACTACAATGTGGGTGCTGGGAAAGAAACCCAAGTCCTCTGCAAGAGCAACAAGTCCTCTTAACCAAGTAGCCATCCCACCAGCCCCACTAGTTAACTTCTTGTAATCACTAAAAATGTATTTCACTTTATCCATACTTTATCCTGCATAAAAGAAGAAACCAAACATCTCACCATTTGAAATACATCAGAACCTTCATCAAAATCCACCATGGCAAAAAATATCCTGTTGGTAAACGCACTGGAGTATCGCCAAGAGTTTGCCAGAATCTGGAATTCTTCATCAGCTTGTCTGAATGCAGTACGATTTTGGGGGAGAAAAACAAACAAACAAAACACATTAGAAACCATTTTAAAACCAAAGCAGCTTATCAGCAGTAAAACAAAACCTAATTAACAGCAATTTTTTGTTGTTTTTTTCAAGAGAGTGTTTCACTGTGTAGCCCTGGGTATCTTGGAACTCACTCTGTAGACCAGGCTGGCTTCGAACTCAGAGATTCACCTGCCTCTACCTCTGCCTCCTGAGTCCTTGGATTAGAGGAGTGTGTCACCACTCATAGTGGCATTTTTTAGTAAAAGAAATAATATTAAAAAACTATTGACAAGTTGGGTGATGGTGGCACTCGGGAGGCAGAGGTAGGCCGATCTCTGTGAGTTTGAGGCCAGCCTGATCTACAGATTGAGTTTCAGGACAGCCAAGGCTGTTACACAGAGAAACCCTGTCTCAGAAAGAAAAAGTTATTGGCAAGTAAGTCAGATATAGTTGATAAGGTGAGAACACACTTTGTTTACATAAGAGAAGCCTCATATCTAAGTGTTAGAGGTCTCACCAGAAATTAGTAATTACATGACTCCATTTTACAATTTATACCTTTAGACAGTTTATTTTTGAATCCCTAAACAATTTTTTTTATTTTTTTTAAAGACTCACCTATTGCTGGGCGGTGGTGGTGTGGGTCTTTAATCCCAGCACTTGGGAGGCAGAGGCAGGCAAATCTCTGGGAGTAACAGACCAGCCTGGTCTACAAGAGCTAGTTCCAGGACAGTCTCTAAAACCACAGAGAAACTCTGTCTCGAAAAACAAAAATAAAATAAAATAAAGACTCACTTATTTAATGTGCATTGGTGTTTTGCCTGTTAATGTATTTCATGTGAGGGTGCTGAATGCCCTGGAAATGGAATTATAGACAGTTGTGAGCTGCCCTGTAGGTTCTGGGAATTGAATCCGGGTCCTGTGGAAGAACAGCAAACTCTGAACTACTAAGCCATCTCTCCAGCCCCTCAAAACAATTTAAAAATTTTTTCTAATATGGGTTCACACTTATGTAGCCCTGGCTATTCTGGTCACTCTGTAGACCAGGCTGGCCTTGAACGCACAGAGATCTGTCTGTTTTTGCCTCCTGAGTGCTTGGATTAGATGCTCATGTCACCACAGCTAGGCTTGAAAACATTTTTGGCAGTCACTGAAAAAACAAGTCCAGCTAACCCTTTATAAGCTGTGGGGGCTTTCCGCCCTTTAGTGTTTTGTTTTGGCTTTGTTTTTGTTTTCCTAGAGATAGGGTTTATTTGTGTAGCCCTGGCTGTCCTGGAACTAAAGGACTAAGGGATTTATTTATATGCATGTGTCTGTGTGGGGGTGTGTGCATGTGAGTGCCAGCGCCCACTGAGGCCAGAAGCATCAGATCCACCTGGAGCTGGAGTTAGGAGGCTGTGAGCTGCTGGGCCTGGGTTCCTGGAACTGAAATTGGGTCCTCTGCAAGAGCAATAATGGGCTCTAACTGCAGCATTCTCTCTCCAGTTCAAGTGGTGCTTTCACTTTCAGTTTTTAAAACAGGGTCTTGCTATGGTGCTCAGTCTAGACTCACACTACAATTGTAGTCTCAAATGCTCCTTCTGTTTTAGACTCATCAGGAGGAAGGATTCTGGGCATATATGACCATACCCAGTGTCCACACATTTTTTTTTTTTTTTGCTTTTGGTGCTGGGGGGTGGGGTTGAATCCAGGATCCCACTCATTCTAGGCAGGAATATAACAACTGCCCCTAAGTCTCACAATTTTGAGACCCTAAATCAACAGGCAGAGAAGATCTAACAGCCTACCTTAAAAATCTAAAGTATGTAGCCAGGCACAGTGGCACAGGCCTGTAATACCAGTGCTCAGAAGGCGGAGATGGGAGGGCTGCCACAGTTAAAAGCCTGCCTGCTGCCACAGCAACTTTTAGGCCAGCAAGGGATACACAGTGAGACCCTACCTCAACTTTTAAAAAAAAAATTAAATAAAATCTGGAGGTCGAGATGACTCAGTCAGTAAAGTGCTTACCTTGAAAGCATGAGGACCTGAGTTCATTTCCCAGAAGCCACGTTTAAAAGGTAAGGGTGGTGGTGTTCTTATAACTGCAGCACTTGGGAAGCAGAGACAAGTAGATCCCTTAGACTGGCTAGTTAGCTAGCCCAGCCTAACTAGTGCACTCCAGGCAAAGGAGAAACCCTACTTCAAAGGAGGTAGACAGCATTTCTGAAGATGACACCCAAAACTGTCTTCTGGCCTGTACACTCAAGCACACACATGTGCCTGCACACATATGAACACAATGCACAAACCCTCACACATACTCTGAAGCAAACATGCTATCTGGTAAGTAAAAATACAATCAGATTAATTGATATAAATGACAAAAACCTAGAGACTTGAGACAAATTAAAACCTTGAGTTATCCTTGAATTTTCCTTTCTTTTTTAAAATTTGATGTGCATTGGAGTTACAGACAGATATGAGCAGCCATTTGGGTGCAGGGAATTGAAACCAGGTCCTCTAGAAGAGCAGTCAGTGCTCTTAACTGCTTAGCCATCTCTTCAATCCCTGAATTTTCCTTTCTTTTCTATGTTTTCATTTTAAAGACCTGTTTATTTACATGTTTTCCCCATATATATGTCTTTACCTTATTTTTTTCAATCTTTTGGGATTAAGTCTAAGTAACATAAATGCATAAACTTATCTATTTATCAAAGAAGTTTTGGGGTTCTAGTGTTGTTGTTTTATTTTTGTTTTTTGAGACAGGGTTTCCCTATGTAGCTTTGGAGCCTATCCTGGACCTAGCTAGCTCTTGTAGACCAGGCTGGTCTCTAATTCACAGAGATCTGCCTGCCTCCGCCTACCAAGGGCTTGGATTAAAGGTGTGTGCCACCACCACCTAGATAGAAAACATATTTTTCATCCATGATAAACTTTAAACTACACCCTCTTCTGTCTTATATATATTTTAATGGTGGAGATTAAAGCTAGAGCCTATATCAATTTGACAAGCACAAATCTATTATTTAAGTTTTGTTCAGTATCCCATTCTTCAACTGAACATAAGAAAATCTTTCTGAATGTCTAGAGATGAAATTATGAGACAACAATGAACACATTTACAGCATAAATGTTCAAGCCTTGCATTGTCTAGCACATTCCTGATGAAAAGCTATTTGGAGGAGAAGGGATGGTTGTGTTGTAACATGATGGTGGCATAGAGACTAAGCCAACTAGCCTATGGTCCAGTAGCAGACTAACACCCCAGCAAACCATTTTGTAGCTCCACAGACACATAGCTGGAAGGCTCTACTCTGGAAGACTTCCTCTCACACTTCTAGTCCCCCTTATACTTCTTCCTCCTTTTATAGGCAATGAATTGGCTCTAAACATTTAATAAGGGCTGAGGCTGGAGTTATGGCTCAGTGGTTAAGTTTGTTCTTCTAGAGGACTTGGGCTCAATTCCCAGCACTTATATGAAGGCTCACAACTGCCTATAATTTCAATTCCAGGAGACCTGACATCCTCTTCTGGCCTCTGTGGTCCCTTCATTCAAGTGGTACACAGACACATATGCAGGCAAATACTCATACATGTACAATGTATTATGTTTTTTAGAGACCAGGTATGTTTCTCTGTGTAGCTTTGGCTCTCCTTGAACTCACTCTGCAGACCAAGCAGACCTTGAACTCAACAGAGATCCTCCTGCCTCTGCCTCCTGAGAGCTGGGATTTAAAGGTGCGTGCCACCACTGCCCAGCCAATTGTTTTAATTACAAAAAGGGCTAGCGAGTTGACTCGGTGTTGCAGAGAATCTGAGTTTGGCTGTACGCACTCATAACAGGCAGTTCACAACCACTTGTAATGGAAGATGTTGGTCTCTAAGGGTACCTACATTCACATGCCAACTCCTCTGAGCCAAGTCATCAGCCCTTGAAAGGGATTTTTACACTTTTTCATTTAAGTCCCACCTGCTCTCTACCTATATATAATTAAGAAGGAAACTAAAGGGGCTGGAAAGGTGCCTCAGCGTTAAGAGAATGTACTGCTCATGTAGAGGACCTAAGTTTACTTTCCAGCACCCATGTCAGGTGGCTCACAACCACCTGCAACTCTAGCTCTAGGACTATCAAATGCCTTTGAGGGAACCTAAACTTAGGCACACATACCTCTACACAGATACACGTAATAAAAATCAATAAACAATAAAAATAAGGTTGGGTATAGTGGCACATGCCTTTAACTCTAGCATTTGGGAGGCAGAAGCAGGTGGATCTCTGCGAGTTCAAGGCCAGCACAGCTTAGATATCAAGTTTCAGGGCAGTTAGGGCTGTACAGGGAGACCCAGTTTAAAAGAAATACTATTTTAAAAAATCCTCTTTTAAGGACTAATGAGTTGGCTCAAACATAAAGGATCTTGCTGATTAGCCTTACAATCTGAGTTCAATTCCTGGGATCTATATGGTACTGGGAGACAACCAACTTCCACACCTGTCTGCTCTCTGACTTCAATATACTTGCATAACATGCAGGTGTACACACATACACACATAAACACACACACACACACACACACACACACACACACACACACACACACCTAAATCCCCTGTAACAAACTTTAACTCTACTTCAGAAATATAACATCTTCAGTCTGAAAGCACTCATAACACAGGGCTGGGAGGTACTCAGTGGGTAAAAGTACTTGCCATACAAACCTGTTGACTTGTACTCTATCCCTGGAATCTAGGGTGGAAGAACAGAATTCACTTCTGAAGGTTGTTCTCTGGCCTCCACATGTGCACAGTGATACGAATGCCCTCACATATAATAAATATATGTAAAGGCAACTAGCATATAAATTGGTTATCAATTCAAACAGTGGTTCTTTGATTTTAAATAATTCATGATAGCTACAATATTTTATCCTTTCTTCCCTACCAACATGTACAACCAAGACTGGGGGCCGGAGAGATAGATGGCTCAGAGGTTAAGAGCACTAGTTGCTCTTCTCAAGGTCCTAAATTCAATTCCCTGCAATCACATGGTGCCTCACAATTATCTGTAATGGGATCTGATTCCCTCTTCTGACATGAATGAAGACAGAACATTGATATACATGAAATACATAAATACATTTTTCCAAAAATAAACAGTAGTATCATCTGTTATTATATACCCCCCTGAATAAGGCATATGCTTTGTTAACAAACCTACTGCACAAATTTGATTCTCCTGAGATAGAAAAATAGTAAAAACCAAAAAGTTATTTAATTGCAAAGTGGAGATGAAAGATCATACTTGCAAACGACACATTGTCTATGAAGTTGGAGAGCAGTGAACATGACGATAACAGAGTAATTTCTTGGTGGAGCTTTAACAAGGCGACGGAACTTGTCTCCATTCATTCTTATTACAGGTCTTTTATTAGTCCATTCCATCAGCTGACTAACCTTCTCAGATAACACCATCTACAAAAGACAAAATGGAATATTGTGAATATACTCAATTTAGCATTTAAGGTTGGGTTTAGCAGATCTTGTTTATAATTGCAGCTACCCAGAAAGTTAAGAGGATCTCCTGAGCCCAACAGCCCAAGACCAGTTTGGGCAACATAGAAAGACCCTAACCACAGTCAGGCATTGGTGGTGCACACCTTTGATCCCAGCACTCTGAATGTAGAGGCAGGTGGATCTCTGTTGACTTCGAGGCCAGCCTGGTCTACAGAGTTAGTTCCAGGACAGGCTCCAAAGCAATACAGACCCCCCTCCCAAAAAGACCCTAACCTTAAACACAACAACCTTAAAAACAACAACAAAACAAAACAAATGAACAAAAAAGCCAAAAGAGGTGTGGTGGCATATGCCTATTCTCCCAGCACTCAGAAGGTAAAGGCAAGTTCATAAGTTTGAGGTCAGTCTAAGATTCCTAACCAGTATCTAAACAACAATAAAGAAAAAACAGCTGGACCTGTATTCTTAGCAATTGGGAGCAGAAGCAGGTGGATCTCTGTAAGTTCAAGATTAGACCTTGTCCACAATGGTGACAAACCTTGTTTCAGAAAGAAGTGTTTGGAGTGGGGGAGTCTGCAGTAGCAGGAAAAATACAATCAAACCAAAAAGTTACTTTAAAGCTGACAACCTGGGTTTGATCCCAGGAATCTACTTGTCCTCTGAGCTCCACACATGTGCTGTGGTACATGCATGCTTGCACAATGAAATAAGTAAATATATGTTAAAAAAAGTTCCTTTAGCAAAGCCACTTTCTTTGTATGTATGTGTGTGTGTGGGGGGGGGGGGGGGGTAGGGGTTGAGACAGGGTTTCTCTGTGTAACAGCCTGTCCTGGAACTCACTCTGTAGACCAGGCTGGCTTCAAACTCAGAGAGATCCATCTGCCTTTGCCTCCCAAGTGCTGGAATTAAAGGTGTGAACAAGACCAGCTTGCAAAGTAAACTTTCTTAAACCAAGCCTACCAAGGAGAGGTACCGGTAGCTCACAACTTCCTGTGATTCCAGTTCCAGGGAATCCAATGCCCTCTGGCCTCTTTAGTCACCTGCACACGTTTGCACACATGTGATGCACATAAACTTATTCAGGTACAGAAACATATACATTAAAGTAACCTAACTAATCTTTTTAAAAAATAAAATATAAATCCTATGGGGAAAAAAATTGAGACTGGACCTGATGATACTTTTTTCTTTTCTTTAAGATCTTATCTGGCAGCTCAGACAGGCCAGAAACTTGAAATCCTCATGCCTCAGTCACCTGAGTACCAACATTCCATGGTAAGCCATCACAACTGACTCAATATTCTTTCTTAAAAGTTTAGTATTTCCTAAGATTTAAGCTGAGGGTGATGGTAAAGGAGGAAGAGGATGAAGAGTTCAAGGTCAGCCTCACCTACATAGAGTTCCAGGCCAACCTGATTTATATGACACACCTTAAAAACACCAAAAGTTTTAAGCAAACAGTAGACTTTAAAGTGCATTAGTTACTATTTAATAATACATAAAATAATGAAACCTTTTGCTTGTCAAAGATTCTAAAGAACATTGGACTGAGCCACTGGTATGTTTTGGGGTTTTGTTGTTGTTGTTCTTTCCCTGAAACAGAGTTTCTCTGTGTAATAGCTCTGGCTGTCCTGGAGGGTTTTGTTTTTCTTTTTGAAACAGGGTCTCATATAGTTCAGAATGGCTTCAAATTTGAGATGATTTATCTACCTTAGTCTACTGAGTTATAGGATTACAAGCATGAATTACTCTGCAAATCCAGAGTACAGCACTTTCAACAAATTATGCTTTCATAAATGAAAACCTTAAAGAATTCAAAAACACACTTTACTTAGGGGCTGGAAATTTAGGTCAGATGGTAAGTTGTTTCCCCAGCATGCACAAGGCCCTGGGCTTTATCTCCAATACTACATAAATCAGGTATGGTGGTGCATGCTTGTAATTCCAACACTTGGAAGGTAGAGGCAGGAGGAGCAGGTATTCAAGTCCACCCTTGGAGGCCACTCTGGGCTATATAAAAACAAAAAAGCAAAAAGAACTCAATACCTCTATACACCCTTTACTAAAATAAAATACAGTGGCATACACTACTGGTAGAGAAGGTACTATGATAAGGCCCACTGTAGCTTCTTTTAATGTTGTATTTATTATTCAATAAAGCTCAGGAGTCAAATATTAGGAAATAAACCTGATTTACAGAGCAACAGATGAAAAAAATCACTTCACCCTCTTCTCCGCCTTTCCAATCAAAAAGACGGAGCATCTTTTTAGCTCCTCCTTATTCTCTGCATCCTTCTATCTCCTCTGAATCTGCCAGAAAACTATGGTCCACTTCATGGGCAGTCTTGGAGTGAAAACAAATAAATCTCCTGCAACATTTCCATTTTGTCTAAATAAAAAGGAAAGGTTTTAACTCTAACATATATATAAACTATATACGGTAAGGACAAAATGGTATTAGCTTTAACAAAATGGAATTATATACAATATAAACAATTATCAAGTAAGGAATACAGTCACAATGTACACTCCATTAGTATTTGACAAATACAAAGAAAATACACCATTATTTTTCTTACCTTGGTGAGTCCAAAGTTTTGTATCTAATTCACTTTCTATCATAACTAAGGAAAACTGTAACTATAATTAATCTTCAACTTCATCAGAGACTTAAGAAGAAGTACAGAGCAAGCAACTTCCAAAACTATAGAAATGGCAGAGACATGTGTCTACCTAGACAGTCACCCCAAGCTTCCTCTGCAACACTGGGGTATCCATCTTCTGCCTACAGGCCAAAAATATCTGACAGAATTTTGTGAAGCACCACATTTTGAAGGACCGTCTACCTTAGCAAAGTTTGACAATCGCCTTCTTTTGTGTCCTACTTGTCTAATTTGGACAGCACACTGTCAGCAGGCGAGGCAAGGGCAGTTTCTTGACCAAATGGCTAGTTTTGCCACAAGGAAAGCAAACTCCATATGAAGTAAACGGGTGCTGCCAGAAGCAGATGTGTCTCAATGTCATGAAAAGCCTCACGTTATTAAAATATTTTAAATGCCATATTCTGTAGGTTTCTAAGTGTTTGAAGAACATCTTTCTATCTAAAACAGATGTTTGACCTTGAAAACATACCTAACATGACTGTTACAGATGACTAATATTAAATAAAAATTGTTTTTAAAAATCCATTTTTTTAAAAAGCTTTTCTTTTTTGGGGGAGGGCGTTCAAGACACAGTTTCTTTATGTAGCCCTGGCTGTCCTGGAACTTGTTCTGAATATGGGTCTGGTCCCAGAGTTACAGAAATCCTCCTGCCTTCACCTCCCAAGAATGCTGGGATTAAAGGCATGTGCCACCACACCCAGTCTAAAAAGACAAATTTTATTTAATTTTTTTTTTTTTTGTGTGTGTGTGTGTTCGTGCTTGTACACAAATCAGTGCAGGTGTCCAGAGTCCAGAATGGCGTGTGGGATCCCCTGGAACTGGAGTTACAGGCAATTATGAGCTGCCTATTGTGGAAGCTGGGAACCAAATTAAGGTCCTCTGAAATAGCTGGAAGCACTCTTAGCAACTAAACCATCCTTCCAGTTCAGAAATGTTAACACCTTAATAATTATTTTTATCTGAGATTTTTCTTTGAAAATGTGCATAAGTGCTGTGTCTGCATATGTGTATGTGTACTATGTGTGTGCCTCATACCCTCGGAGATAAGAAGAGGGCATCAAATTCCCTGGAACTTAAATTAAAGGAAGCTAGGAGCTACCATGTGGGTGCTCAGAACTGAACCTGGGTCCACTCCAAGAGTAAGTGCTCTTAACCCCTGAGCCATCTCTCCAGCCCCACATCTTAATAATTCCTAGACACTTCTTTTACATTTGTGTCTTCTCTATTACTCTATGGGTATTTTCAACGGTTTATTCATGTATTGTATTTATGAGTGCTTTGTCTGCATGTACACCTGAACACTAAAAGAGGGCATCAGATTATATTATAAATTGTTGTGACCCATCATGTTGTTTCTGGGAATTGAACTCACAAGCTCTAGAAGAACAGAGCAGCTGGGTAACCTTGAACTTTACTATGTAGACAAGGCTGGCCTTAAGCTTACAGAGATCCTACTGCTTCTGGCTCTCAAGTCCTGTTGTAACAAGTATGCACCACCACACCCACACATATTATCTCTACTAGCTCTAGTAAAGAAGCCTGAATCTTAGCCAGGCAGTGGTGGCACATGCCTTTTATATCAGGGCTTGAGAGGCAAAGTAAGCAGAGGCAGGCAGAGCGAGTTTCAGGACAGCCAGAACAAGAGAAACCCTGACTCGAAAGATCAAAAGGAGAAAAATAATTCTTAACCACTAGTAATTCTGTCACTACCATCTCCCAATGGTAATGGAATACAGAAATCCATTACCATTCAGAATTAAAACTAGTTCTGTCATTCAAACTATTTGAATTTCACAAGCATCACCAATCTGAATTCTAAAACATATCCCCTTCCTTTCTTCAAAACCTCAATTGTATCTCTGTTGTAGTTCATCAGTGCTTACTCATTTAAAAAAAAAAAATCTTGTCTTTAGCCTTCCTACTCATTTAACTGGTTAACTGGTTTTCAGCAATACGTTTAGAACTCTGTCCTTCAATTAAAACTGAACAGATCTGGAAACATAACTGGCAGATAATTACTGAAAGAGACAGACTGTTAGCAGGGAAGAGAGCATTTTTAATTCTTTTACCATCTGCTCCATTCTCAGTCTACCTACTTCCTAAACATAGCTCAAATTCATCCCCATCTCTTTCTTTGATGCTTTTTTGTGTGTGTGTGGGGGGGGCTATCTCATTTTTGTAGCTGTTTTGTTATTCTTATGTTTCTGTAATAGATACTGTCCACAGAACTACAAGGGTTACAGCTGTGGTATTTCTTTAAAAATTATTTTTCAAGTCTTATTTTATTTCATGGGT